TATGCTGTTTATCGATATGTCAAGTCAAGGTGCTAAACATTTCAGCGTATGGAGGAACTTGTAGAGAGCTGAAGCAGATGAGGCATTTCTTGGCAAATTTGAAATGCCTTGAAACTGTCAAGGTCAGAGTTAAAGTCAATCGCCGAGAAGACAAGGGTGATGTTGATAACAAGTACCTGAGAATCACCAATGCTCTTCTGAAGCTTCCCAAAGTTTCATCAAACTGCCAAATCCATTATTTTTTATGATTTATCTTCTTCTCCTTTCTTTAATTTTGGCAAACGTTAGTTACCAAACTGTCATAATATATTCTCCTAATTTATTTGTATGAATCACAAATAATGATTAATGTGGGAGTGCACTTCACTTTCTGGCACCAAATTGTTTTCAGATGAGAAGACTATCATAAAATTTGTGAAATTAGTTCCATTTTTTTTGCTGGATTTTGTTGGTGATCCAGGAAAGAGTCATTATGGGAACTAGAAGAGAGTGAATCGAATGCACAAGAAAAAGAACCGTGCCGATCCACTCGCTGCTGGGCACCAGAAGGTTAGCTTTACTTTCCTTAAAGTCTACTTCTTTAGAATTTGGGTAAGTTTGCATTATTATCACAAAATGTTAGTGAGAAGAGAGAGGATTCTACTGTTTTACTTCCTTTCTTGAAAACCATCAGACAAGTAGGAGAGTTTCGGTCAATTTCATAGTTGGGGAGGAACATGGTTTTTCTTCTTTAAGAAGTTGGAACATGTTGTGCTATTTTTTCGCGCATAACTTTACCCAACTATTCTACATGGTCTAAATTTGATTACTCCCCTTTGCCTTGATTCATACAGACACAGAAACATGAGACGACGATAGTATGTTTTAGTCTCTTAGTTTCTTTGCTTCATTTCAGCTTCAACAGTTTCGTCAAAAGAATCCTGACAAAGGCACTGATCAGAAAAGGACCCCAAAGGCAGTTCAAGCCAAGGAAAATCTGACCAGACAAAAATGCTGCCAGTGACTCCGTAAAATGTGGCTGCAGGAGGAGCTACTTCTCATGTGAATTCTGGTGAGGAGGTTACCGATTGTCCACAAACTTATGCAAATGCATTGGCTCCCGAATATGTTCCAGTCCATGGTTCATCATCGAAACCTGATACGACTCAGCCAGGAAGCACCACAGCAACTTCTGATAATGGATCTGAACTGAGAAAAGTAGTAGTAAATTCTGAATATGATTTCTGTTTATCATCCACTGAAAAAGAGAACATGATGAGTATCGACAGTGTAGATTCTTTGACATCTGACCCTGCAGATTCTGAGAAGGGAGTTGCGCATGACGACGCATCTATTAATGTTGACAGTCTGTGATTGATAAGCTACAGTCAGACTTGTCGAGTAAATCAAACAATATGCAGGAACTGACGGAGCGAAGTCTTGATTCCACTTCACTGTGACAATTAGTTGAGAATGTTGAGGGTGTTTTGAAACTTGAAAGTGGTGGAATTAGTTTAGAATATCCTAGTTCATATACGGAGTTTGTGGTTTCCCAACTTGTTCAGAAGTTTATCGAGATGGAGGAATTGGCTAATCTCATCAGAAAACAGTTAGAAGCCAAGGAGAATGAGTTGATGGAGACCCAGTAGAGTTTACTGCACCATAAAACTGAAATGGGTGGTCTCAGAGAAACTTTAAGCCAGGCAGAGGAATCCCTTGTGGCTGTGCGAGCTGAGTTACAAGAGAAATCTAAAGAACTTGAACAATCAGAGCAGAGGTTATCATCGACTAGAGACAAGCTTAGCATAGCTGTTGCAAATGGAAAAGGTTTAATTGGTCAGCGTGACAATCTCAAACCGTTGTTGGCTGAAGCCTCCGCTGAACTGCAGAGGTGTTCAGAGGAATTGAATTGAAGGATTCACGGCTTGTGAAAGTAGAAGCAAAACTTAAAACCTATACGGAGGCAGGTGAACGTGTGGAAGCATTAGAATCTGAGCTTTCTTACCTCCGAAACTCAGCTACTGCGCTGCGAGAATCTTTTCCTCTCGAAGACTCTGCCTCACAGAATTGAAGAAATTTTGGAAGATTTGCATCTCCATGAGCATTTTCATGCTCGATCAGCTAACGGAAACTCTTTACGCCCCTCTGATTGGGATCAGAAGAGTTCTGATGGAGGTGTGGGATTTGTTATTTCGGACCCCTGGAGGGAGGACGTACAAACTGGCACAAGTTCTAAGGATGACTTAAGGATCAAGTTCGAGGAGCTCAAGGGGAAGTTTTATGGATTGGCTGAACAATATGAAATGCTGGAGCAGTCCCTGGTGGAAAGGAATACTTTGGTGGAGAATATTGATATGCCTCTGCAGCTTGAGAAACTTGGTTGAAAATGAGAAATTGCAGGATCAAGTTAAAGATTTGCATGGAAATTTGGTTGAGAAACTTAAGAATGAAGAACATGTTAGAAGCAAAGAGTCAATTTATTCCAATCTAAAGGAAGTGCATTCTTGTTGAATAATAAACTCTTGAAGTTTCAAGAGAGAGAACGTTTGGTTGAGGACAATGATAAACTTGCACATGAACTTCTTACTCTTCAAGAGCGTATGTCAACTGAACAAGAAGAGCGGACTCATCTAGAAGTTGCAAGATCGCCCCTTGATAAATTGGTTAATGAAAATTCATCTCTAACTAGCAGCATTGAGGTAGAAAAGGCTAGAAAGGTAGACATTGGTAGCGAGGATGCTTTAGGATTGATCAATCAGGAAATTTCTGAACCGAGAAAAGTAGTAGATTCTGAAAATGATACCAACAGTGTAGATTCTTTGACATCTGAGCCTGCAGATTCTGAGAAAGGAGTTACACATGACGATGCATCTATTAATGTTGAGAGAAGCTTTGCTGCTTTTGGAAACCTAGCGGAGAGGGAAGGAGTTGAAATTCAAAGTGGAAAACCGCAGCATCAGCCAGCCTCGGTGCAAGGGGAGATCAGGTAATTGATGTAGGTTCTCTCCTCTCTTCAATTACTTGATTTATTGCTTTTTCTTTGATAGGGTAAAGAGGTTAGGTCAATTGCAAGCGGCATTTTGATGTATAATTCAATTCTCATTTCTTTCTGGTTAGGGGAAATGCAGGAAGACAATGTTTCTCACAAGGAACAGTTTTCTGAATAATCTGCAAAGGCAGATGTGGATAGGATTGCAATTGAAGAAAAGCTATCCAGCTGTTGTGGATTCATCTGCTTCTGCTTCTCACTTTGCAGAGGGCTCCTCAGTTAAATCTGATTCAGTTGAACTAGAAGGAATAAATGGTACAATTAGAAGCCAGCAGATTAGTGAAGCTGCGGAGCTTAAATGAAGAGATACCAGAAACATCTATTGGTCACGTGCCTTCAGCTGAACCCGAGGAAAGCTCTGTTACAGATGTGGTTAGTCAGCTGCAATTGCCTAAGAGCGTCAGTATATCTAGATTTGTGAGCCATGAGGAACCTCGTAAAATGGACACACTGAAGCCATCTGGCGAAGTTTCTGCTGCTCATGTTCATGAAGGCCGCTCAGTCAGCTTCTTACAGCTTATAGGTATTGTACAGGGACTTGGACAAAATGAATATCAAGTTTTGTGCAACGCAAGAGAGGCTGCTTCCAGTACTGAGTCAGAAACAAGTTCGTTGGAGCGATTAAGAGAAGAACTCTTTGTTTCGAGTACCATGGAAGCTATACGCCATGTGCAACACACAGAATAGTCTAATTTACAAAATGAGTTTAATAATCAACATAATCAATTTGTCACAGATGAGAAGATAAATCCTTATATGTATGGATAGGTTTGGTACAAATCACAATATCAAACAAAGAGACAACTAGATATCATTATTTGTAATCATATGTGTACATAACAATGGAAACTGAAACCAACTTTGTATTCATATCTGTACATAATAATGGAAACTGAAACCAACCAAAATTCATATCTGTATATAACAATGGAAACTGAAACAGAAACCAACCAAAAAATGAACACATTTGAATGAATATCTCTGAAAAGGGGGAGAACAAGAAAAAGAGAAATCACTTAGAAGAGCTGCGATTGTGAGGATGCTCCCATCAATGTTTCTACCTCTGTAAACCCAAGTGGTGGCTCGTCCGTGAAACAGATGACGGCTTGGTTTACACCCCCGTTGCAGAAATTAAGGTAGGTTGTGTCAACTCGAGTCGCCTTTTAGTAGCCTCACGGAATGAGTTGATGAGCTTATTATCCAAGTGAGGTTGTTGCTCCGGCAAATTTGGCAGTATCTGAATGGAGAAATGCAAGCAGTGTGAGAATCAACATTGAGTTCCATTCTTTTTGACGGCTAAGCCAAAGAAAACATCATGAAGACACAGTACAATGCTAACTCCTTATGTCACTTAGATCCACAATGCTAGGTTCTGTTTATCTTAAAGCTTGTAGCAAACGCACTTCTAGAAAATAAGCAAGCAAGTCTATAAGTAAATAGTGCAGAGACATAGAAGGTTACATACTTCCACTTGAGAGGACGCAACTCCAGGAATAGCTACAGTAACATTCTTTTCACGAGCTTCTTTGTGCGAGCTTACTGTCTCGGTTGGGTCAGCATAAGTCAAACTATTCAAGTAGGTAAAAATCGGAAAAGAATAAACAGATTCAGATATGGACTATTAGTGATCCTGAAATGGCAGAAAGAGAAACGCATACTCTAGAAACCAACATCTACTGGACGATTCCACACTGCTTGGAGACAAAATCACAAGTAAAAATAAAGGAGAACAAGAAAAAGAGAATTCACCTAGAAGAGCTCCCATGTGAAGCCTGAAGCTGCGATTGTGAGGATGCTCCCATCAATGTTTCTACCTCTGTAAACCCAAGCGGCTCGTCCATAAAACAGATGACTTGGTTTACATCCCTTGTGTCAACTCGAGTCGCTTAAGTAGCCTCACGGAATGAGTTGATGAGTTTATTATCCAAGTGAGGCTGTTGCTCTGGTGAATTTGGCAGAATCTGATTGCGACCTGAACTGATTACCATTGGCTCTGCAGTGGGTTCCTCGGTCACCAAACCCCCCAGCGAAGAAGTTTTCTTAACAGGCAGCAGGGTTTTGTTGCGGCAGGCCTCCATGGCGACATCCAAATCCCACTTAAACCCCTCAAGGTAAAAGAGTGCTTCTCCTTGAGACACTCCCGAATCATTACAGATTTGGTCAATCATCCAAACTTTCATCTCTGACCAACAGGTTTCAGTTTCCTGGATTTTATGAACCTGAATTGACAAATGCAAGCAGTGTATGAATTCCATTCTTTTTAAGAATCTTAAGAGAAAACAGAGAAAGGCTAAGCCAAAGAAAAGATCATCAAGACATAGTAGAATGTTAACTCCTCATACAGAACTAAGAGACCTATTCTTCATAGCCAGGTTCTGTTTGTGCACTTACCTTAGCTACACTAATAAGATTTCCAGATGCCATTGGAAGTACACCTACTGTGGTTGTTTGTTTTCCAGCGGAACAACTTTTTACGTGAGTTTCTTTCCTCTTCTTCTTCGGAGGACCGGAAGAACATTGTATTTGAGATTCTTTCCTTTTCGTGTCGAGTTTCCCTCGTTTTCTGCGGAAAAGAGTGTCTTCCTCGTTTGATTTGTATGTTAAGCAGAACAAAGATCGGTTGTGAAGAATGTGCTCGCTCAATGTCCAACCTTCTCGCCAAAATTCAATGCCTTCCATTTTAACCTCTTCAATATCATCAACCTCTTCCCGGAGGTACGCAACCGATGAAGGAATCAAGAGTGGTTCTTCGCTTTCTGCTAGATAAGTTTGAACAAACCTATTTTTTCGATCCCATCGGAATAAGGCTCCTTCAAACTCAAAAGTTTCAAACCTTGGAAGGCTAGTTGGATGAAAGAATAGCCACGACCTTTGTAATTCGTAATCCAAGAAACCACAATCAATGAATCCGAGATTCCATGGCACTTTATGAAAAATGCTTGTAGGATCTTCACCTTCAGCTAGCACATGATCTTCATCATCAAGATCTGCAATCCAGGGAATTCCCACGTCGATGTTTTGAACACTTTTCAACAAAGCGATTCCAATCTTGAGATTCTTCTCAATATCGTTATCAAAGAATCCATCGACGACGGTGTATGCCACTTTCCCAAATGATAGAACATATGACAGTATTTCATGATTGTGGCAGCAATACTGACCATGGATTTGTTTCAATTGGTTGCATCCAAACAAGGAGCAACCAAAAGATCGAGAAGCAACTTGTTTGGCATATGGTTCCTCTTGAGCTTCTTCTTCCATCTTGTGAATGAAAACTGACCGGAAAAGTGGAACGAGAACGAAAAGTGATCGGAAGGAGAATGAAAAGTGATCAACGAAAAATGATCGGAAAAAGTGATCGGAAGGAGAACGAAAAGTGATCGGGAAAAGGAAAGAGAAAGAGAAAGTAATGAATTTCGTTTTTTTAAGGTTTTTGTGATTTCCCCAAATTGATGTGGCTAATTGAATCTGAACCGTCCATGTCTACGATCCAAGAGAAGAACGATTAGCCAATCAGAGGGTTTTAGTCCGTGTTTCGTTTTGCATCCGTTAGATTCCTTTATATCATATCCTGACCATCCATGTTATCGATCCTGAGAAATTTAGCTAACCAATCAGAAGGCAAGGAATAAAGATATGCGCTACTATTTTTTCGACTAAGC